CATAGCAAGAGGAAGGTTTAATTTTGCATTCAGCCAACAGGGTCAGGATTACACGCCTATGATCATTTTAAATCTCTAATCTTCAGACATATTTCAGAACAATTGCAATTTTTCGAGGACATAATAGTATGAGCAAGGATCAAAAGTTAATTTATTCATAATTCTTTCAAATCACATACATAAGAAAATTCTACATCGAAAGCATCACTAGAGATATGAAAAAATGCATATTACATAGCATTATTATTCAAAAACACAGAATGCATTTTATTACAATTAAAGGTCATACTAACATTGGCAAAAATGTATAATAATGAACACTTTTAAATGAAATATGAAAAACAAAATTTAGATTGATTTGCACGAAATGAAGATAATAATACAGCATAACTAACACTACATATGATAAGAACCACTCTAAAAAATATAAATTTAAATCCTTGTACATTAAAATTTACATTCATTATAGATGATTATACATATATACATAACTGATGTTTTAAAGAAATATGATAGTTCAAAACAACAGCAAAATAATCAATTTTAAAAAGCAGAAAACTGGCATCAAAATACAACTCATAAAATAAGATTATATGCAATCAAACAAACCAGAAGCTATACAAATTTATAAATAGGGCAAAAAATATAAAATGTCATAATTTATATGACACAGGACATTGCATTTATTTTTGGTTAACATTTATAGTATAGTATGCAACAGACTCTGCATTCGAAACATTTTGAGCATATTTTATACTCATAAGAATTTTCATCAGTGTTACTCAGAAATAATGATTCATATCTGTTCTCCAAATAGAACCTTTTGCACAAAATGGACAAACATATCCATAAGGAGAAGGCATTGGTTTATTAACCTGAAAGCTGGTGATAAATCAATTTCATAATTATCAACAAAAAAAGGCATTTTGCAAAACATATTTACTTCCCTGGAAAAGCAAACTGAAAAAATATGTTTTATGTCCACACAAATATACATATATACATGCATACACAAACTTTCTAAAAGATCAAGGGCACTAAATTCTTGTATTATACAGAATTTTTTCCACATTAAAATGCAATCAACAACCATAGATCAGACATTAAAAAGTTTACAGTCAACAAAAATAGTATTAATTCTACTAAAGGGACTAGAACATTTTAAATTTGATGATTTCAACAATATAGCAATTAAGATATTAGATATTGTTACTAATCTTAAAAATATACTTTTTAAGAAATCTCTCCATCTATTACAATTAAGAACACTTTATCCATATGGATTAAACTTTTCAATCAATAATAAATCCGACTTTTATGCTGCAGTTTACGTGCAGTCTCTTCAGCAAGAAAACACAAAGAGGTATCAGAGTACAAAAGAAGAAAGTTAAAGTTGCTATGAATACCACTTTATTACAATCAAAATAACAGAAAATGTTTGATATGCCCAATTTTAAGTAAAATATTGACTACTTTTATTCATCCCCTCACAGACATCTACTTATATTTAAAAGTTTCTTCAAAAATAAGTTTACAGGAAAGAGCGTCGTGAAAGACTTAGTATTCATCCAAGTATAAAAGAATTTTCTGTACTGTCAACTTTCTTCATAGAACTTTTGATGAGATAAACCTGCATAAAGTCTTTAAACAAGCTCAACAAAAATTCCCAGCAATACAGTTTAAAACAATTGTCTGTTTCAAGAACAACAAAAAGCTAAGAAGTTATATTACAAACCATCATGAAGAAGACTTTTCTGCAACTTGATATTGCACAGAAGAAATATTTCTACCATATACGGATGAACAACATAACCATATAATTACAGGAAATCTAGACATTGTACAAGATCAAGAAATCAAGCAGCTTATGAAAAGAGGTAAAAAATTTAGACCAGTTAAATACATTCCTAATTCCAACTATTTCAAAAGTATTTCTGCAGTTCGATATTGATAAGTTCATATTGAAAGAAAGTTCTCTTTTAACTACTCATCTTTTTAAGGAATTGAAAAATGAAATATTAGAAAAAAGCAAAAATAGTATCGAAAAAAATTAAAGGATTTAAAAATTGGAAGGACATCCTTTAGAGGTTTTCTCAATTAAAAAAGCAATTTACTATTACCAAAATTGATAAAGCAAGCAGTAATTTTAGTATTTTATGAAAAGAGTACTATAATTTTCTTATTGAAAATGAACTGCATATAATTCAACAAAGTATAAAATTTCCAAAAATAAAGAAAGGACAGTAATCAACAAAATTTTTGCTTTTCACAAAAAAAATTGAAAATTTCTCTTTACTACAAACAATAGATTTGACAAATTTATATGAAATTCCAAAATTTCATAAAAATCTTGTCAAATTTAGATTTATTGCAACTAGTACAAGAATAATTTTGATTATATTTTTAGAAACCTACTTAAATCAGTTTGTAATGTAATTTTTGATAAAACTAGCACTGATAAAAACTACTGTTGGATTATTAACAAGTTTGCAATCTTGCAGTAACAACTGCTATGACTTTGAAAATTTTTACACATTTCTCTCACTTAAAGAAATCTATGAAAGTCTTCTTGAGCTACCATATTTTTTTTTCCCCTGAAATGCTTACTATTCTGGATTTGCAAAAATGGAAAGATTTTCTCTATTTCTCGCTTTTCAATAACTTTATCAAGCATGCTATTATTATTTACCTACAAAAAATCATATTCCAATGGGAAGTTCTTATTCAACTCAATTATGTAACTTCTATATGTTTTCAAAAGAATATAAATTTCTTAAAAACCTTTCAGATAATAATTTCAAAAAATATGAACACACTTTCAGATATACTGATGATATTATTACATTTCACAATGCAGAAGGATAAAGAAGGAAGTTTTATAGTATGCATATGTATATATTTGTATTACTGTACATTTTTCTTGACTATACTTTTATTAACTGTAGGGCTACTATTCTAATGTTCTCATCTTAAGCCCATGATGTGCAGACTTTATTAGTTGCATTCACAAATTAGTTTTGCCAATGATGACGAGCTGGCAACCATTGGCATCTACTTTTGAATCTGGATCTTTTGTACCTTCATTAGCATAATGGTAAGTCGTGGTGCTTCCAGTTCTCTGTTAGTTTTCATGTATATTTATAATTACATTTTATTTACATTTATTTCAGTAATATATGTCTAATTATTATTCTTTTCCTTTATTGGACATTAAATTAATACAATAAGATTTGATTTTGTACTATTTCATTACATTTGGAAATCAACTGCATTGAGAAGAGATTCAGAATTTTCAGGTGAGCTGTTAAAATTAAATAATTTAGAAGGGTTCATCAACTAATTTTTGATTAATAGAAATGCAGTGGTTTTTCTAAGGGAAGAGGGGTTCAATTAAATCTGATTTACTTCCTCTTGATAATGTGGAATCAGATTTTGATTGCCTTCCTCTGCCTATATATTTTTTGTTCTTTTTGTATTTCCTTTCTCTGTACGTCTACTGGTTTGATGAGTACCAGTTGATTTTTACATATTTATGGGAGATTTTGATTTTACTGGTTTTGAATTTCATTTCTTTCATATCTTTCTGGATTTGGTTCTAAATTTCTTTCTTTCTGTACATAAACTTTATCTGACTCAGAGTAAACTCATCAGATTTAAAGAACATACATAATGGCATCTCAGAACTCTTTTTGTTCCATAATTTTTTTCTTGATACAGAAATCCAAATGTCAAGAAAATATCAAGTTAGCTTAACAATTACAGCTTACAAGTTAATACACTCTGGGAAAAACTAAAAGGAATGGAAAATGTTGTCGATGTGAGACTATTAGTATATTCTGCCCCCATGCCGCACAGGCACTATACATTTACAAAAATCCATGCCTTCTCAGGGATTCGAACCTGGGCCCTTCGGCATGGCAGTCAGTGATGCTAACTACTATACTGCCAGGGTGGCAGACAGCAGAAGTATTTTTTTGATATTATGCATACAGGTTGTAAATAAATTCCTTGCAGATACATGTATACCTTCAATTACTTTTCTGTGGTACCCAAACCCTTTTATGCGGATTGTCCTACCCAATACAAAAGGGTATGACAACAAAAGTCATTATTATACACTTTTGAATATGAGTACTCATTGTTATGGATTTCTGAATAAGTGTACATTTTCATGCTTTTAACCATGTTAAATGCATCTTCAAGATTTAAATATTAACAATAATACTGAAAACTGAGTTTTGAGAATTTCTTTGTCTCGAGAGAGTTTGCATTTGTTTTAACTCATTACATTTTATGAGGCATTACATTTTCCTTCTTATGATTTTAGAAGTACATATTTTCCCTGAAAACTATATTTTGAATTTCTTTACATAATCTTTCTTTTAGTCTGTTCTCCGCCCCCAAAAAACTATTAACAAATATATTTGAAATTACTATTGCAATAAATACAGAATTAATCACTGCTTACTATTCCAAAATGCATTCTAAAATATTTCCTACTCGTAAAATAAAACACTGCTCATGGCATTTATTGAAACTGGCCCACCATGATACGGAACTTTGTTGTCATTCTTATATACCACTAATATTCAAATACACAGAAAGTTCCATTGCATAAAGGTCATTCTAACTAAAAAAAAAAAAAAAAAAAAAAAACTATTGTATAAATAAAACTGACTTTTTTTAATACCTTAAAATCTACATTTACCATATAAAAATATACTTTTACATACCTTGAACTGGGAGAGGGAAAAAACATTATCAAAGCATGTGAAATAGGCCATGGCTTTACAACTCCAGAATTCAGAGGGAATATAATTATCTTTCAACTTTTCAAGTAAGAGCAAAGTACTTAATACACAGAAATTTAACACACAAATATATGAGTACCTTCATATAATACATTTTACATTCAGAAAAGGGGGAAAAAACATGAAAATACAAGAATTAAAAATATGGCAAAATGCAGTCTTACAATTGACACGGATGGGACATAATATTCATGCTCGATGAGCAGTCTTACAATGGTATGACAAAGAGTCAGAGTGTTTGTAACATTTTGAGCATATTTCACACTTATAAGTCTTTTTATCACTATGCACAAGAAGATGACGCTCCATATGTGCTCTGTACATAAATCCTTTGCCACAAAATGAGCAGCTATATCGATTTAGAGAAGGCACCAGTTTATTAACTCTTAAGTATGATGATAAAGTAATTTCAGATCTCTCATTGAAGTCAGTATCTTTGGCAGGCATACTTTCATTTAAAATGAAAACTGAAATGGAAAGATATTATTTTTAAAATTTTGATCAGATAAAATTACTTATAAAAACACAGCATTATTAAACTCCAGCCAACTTTATTATTATCAAATCTTATGTAAAATTAACAGAAAGTGCTTCATAAGAGGTTTGACATTGTGTATTCCCATTTCCCTCCTTTTACATGACTGGCCAATAAGCGAATTTAGACTGTCTCACTCACAACTGCCGCATCAGTTCATTCAATCTTTTTGTTCAGCCAGTCGCTATCGGTGACAGCTAAAAAAATTGCTGAAAAATGGCTGTGTCCAAGAAAAGCACTACAAGAATGGATTTTGAATGCCCAATATTTGATAATTGATCAGATTTTTTGAGAAATAAGCTTTCTTATTATCAGAATGTCTTAATGAGCTGCCTCCATGTGAGATATGAGATGTTGCTAGGTTTGAACAATGAAAGGGCATGTTTTTGTGAAGTGGCTAGAAAATATTACGTATTTGTATGATAAAGCTGCTATTAACGTGGTGTTCAAGTACAGGATAGTACAGATGATTTGTAAGTACTATGACAAATATTATAAGATAAGAAATTCATGCAAAGCAATATAAACAGAATACCACATTAAAAGAAAAACACTGTTGACTTCAAATGTGGATCTGCTCTGCTTTTCAGGGTGTAAATGTCCTATTGTGGACTCTATTTGCAAGAAAACTGAAATGTTGTAGGGTGTAAATGTCCTATCGTGGACTCCATTTGCAAGAAAATTGAACTAAGTTCTAAATTTTTGCGAGTTTTTACTGATACATTTTATTACTAGTACAACTGCATAGTTTAAATTTTAAAATTTTTCCAAAACTGAAGTACAAACTAAAAATGATTAAATATAAATGGAAAAAAAAAAAAAAAATTAGTCACATTTTCTTTCTAAACAAAAATATAGTTGGAAAGTGAGAAAATCACAACAAAAATCGTATTTTTCACGGCATGTTATAGCAACAAATATACAAAACTTTCTAAAATAACACTCAAAATAAAGAAATACACCAAATGGAATATACTAATCATTAGAGCTTTTACAGTTTTTACAGGTTAACATTGCATCAAATGTAGTTTTCTTCATTGTGCTTCCAGATTTAATGATGGACAAGAAAAACTACAATTATACAAGCTAAATACATCCTGAAATTCACAAAGTGCTAAAGAAAAATTTCTGTGTCATAATATTTTAATCTTGAAGCAAAATATTTGATTCAAAAGTTTATGATAGAGTGCTTTGGAAAGTCACCATGCACCTGCATGATTATACAGTGAGATATTTTTTCAATCAATGCGATTTGAGAGAATGTTTTATACAACAATTGGTTGCAATGTTTCATGCAGTTGATTTGTCTGAGTCAGTCTGCTTGCCGATCTGGAGAAGGGTGACATGTGTAGCACATAGGTGTGCATCCTCCCATTTGAATGCATTAATTCAAGTTTAGTGTTTTTCTTCTGTTGCCAGGTTGGTGCTAACTTTGGACAACAAATACTCCTCATCAAATGTGTATTCCATGACCATGGCCAGCACACACAGACATTGAAAAAGGGCACTCTGCCAGTCAATTTCCAGGTACACCTGTGCCTAAACAAAGTAGAGTCAGAGCACTTATTGAGAGATTTTGGGAGAGTAAATGATTACCCACAAAGAGGGAGACCCTCAGTACTCCAGAAGAAAAACTGCTTGACATATCGAATGCAATACAACACAGTTGCAGCAAGTCCATGCGAAAATTGGCCCAGACGGAAAAATATTGGTTTTGCAATGGCACATAAGGCCTGTCTGAAACAAATTCGGTCTCATCCCATATGAAGTGAAAGTGGTTGAACAATTAGTCTCCAGTGACACTGGAAAACAAATTCAGTTTTGTGAATGGTTTCAACAGTTCCTTGCAGACAATTATGATGATATATTGGATTATGTATTTTTTACTGATGAGGCATTGTTCCATTTATCAGGGTAGTCAGAGTTATTATCGTCCACTCATAGAACTCACGCTTATGGTCAAGTAAAATCCATGCACATTTCATGGAACTCTGCTACATAACCAAAAACTTGACATGGGATTGCAGTATCCAGGAGAAGAATAGTAAGCCCAATATTCTTCACAGAAAACCATTAATTCTGATCGTTATTATGAAGTTATTTACCAATTCATAGGAGAACCAACAGAGAACAAAATTAACAATGCCCGGATTCAACAAGATGGCACCACTACACACACAGCTCATAAGTCTATCGAATTACGGGAAGATTTTTTTTTGGAGATCGAATCATTTCAAAGGATTATGGTTGCCTCATTCTCCAGACTTTTACAACTGGAGCTATGGAAAAGCTAACATTTATTGGCAGAACCTCCACCTGCTCCTGGAATTGGAAACTGCTATACATGACTTCACCAAGAACTTTCTACAGGTACATAGTTATTTTCCGAATACACCGTTTTTAGTGAATTTTGAACTGAATTTTAGAGTAAAAAAAAAAAATTATTTTGATGAGTACTTTGATAATTTTAATTATAAAACTCTAAAAGGAACAAAAAAATTATAGTATTTACTCATAAGTAACTAAAATTTAATAACATCTTTTATTTTTAAATAGAAATTAAATCTCAAATAAAAGGGTTGGAAATTCAGTACTGATTAAAAGAAGATAGAAACAGATTAGCAGAGTAAAGATGTATGGCAGATTCACTTTCACAGCCCTTTAGTGTAGTTTACCATATTTTCCATCACTATACTCATTTATTAATTCTCTCAGCATTATGTATTTAAATTTCTGTATGGATGGATGATTTCACATTCATTACAGATGAAAATATCTGCCAGCTTTTAATGTTTCTGACTTCAGGTTGGAAGTATTTTGGAAAAAAAGATATCAAGGTACAGCCATTTTTTAATTATAATCAAAGAAATACCATTTATTCTTGACATTTTGAGGAATTCTGATATTTCAGGGCTAAACTCGTAATGCTCGGAGTGTTAATAATGCTTTCAGCTATGGCTTTTTGGTTTGTTAAAGATAAAGCTATGAGTTGCAAACATAACATCAAAAACCTGCATGAAAAAAAAATTAATTTAATTATAATCACAGAAGATAATTTCTGGAAAATATAGAGAGGAATAGAATACTTGGAAACTCCATCTTGTCAACAGGTGCCATACAATATCAGCTACATAACACTGTGCACTATCTTGAAGAAAAAATGGTTGAAAGGGGTTAGAAAGTGACACCATTTCTTCTATAAGATTTCATGCAACCCATAATACTTAGTTTATTCAATAGCTAATTTGCGAGTATGGATTTGCACTCCTGTAAACAATATTGTAGTCTTTATTACTATTACCATTCAAAATGGATTTTGGCAACCTTACACCACGCTCTGCTGCAATTTTTAACATGACTAACTATGCCTTCATGATACCAGAGGATGGCCACATGATTCAGATGTTTCCACAAACAAGCTAATAAGTATTCAGTGAGATAATGAATTAGCTCCACATGCTGTTGAATTTCCCTTGTAAACTGCTCTGTGGTATCACAGTTTCAATTTCATGTCAGAATACTGTTTTAAGATACACATGTTCCTACACTGCCTATGTACTTTGCACTGATCATGTAGCATTAATGTACACTGTATGGAACTCAATGAATATAACATCAAAGGAAGCGGAATTTAGAGTGTCATAAAAAGCCAACACTGATATGATTGCAATGCTGCAATTAACAGTAAACTTTCCATATTTGAAATTCTTTCAAAACAAAATCAGATTTAGTTTTTGAGATTATCAATGAAAGTTAGCAATCAAAACTTTTTGTTAGAATTCAAATCGTGAAACAACTTCCTAATAAAATCTCTTATTAAAAATCATCCGCTGAGATGATTTTTTTTTATTGTACATTGCTATGCAGAAATGTAAAATAGACTTCTACTTAAAATGTCTTGTCTTACAATAATAAACTTTACCACAATTTTAATGTGTCTTAAAATTTATATTGACCATAATAGTATATACATATAAGTCACTGATGAAAAAACTAACTTGCTAGGCAAAAACATAGTCAACAATGACATAGAAAATCTATCAAAAATCATGAAATAAGCCATGACTTAACAGAATACAAATTTAAAAAAGAAAACCCTTTTTCTTTCAACATTGTAAGCATCAGTAAAATATTTAATAAACAGAAAACTGATATCAAATTGCAAGGATTATCCCATAAAATATTTCACACGCAAGAACAAATAAGACAGGAAGATACAAAAATTTATAAACACAGCAAAAAGTATAGTCTTGTAATTAGTATAACACAGAATATTACATTCATGCTTTATGAGCATTTATACAATGGTACAATAAAGAGTGTTTGTGTTTGAAACATTTTGAGCATATTTTGCATTTATAAGGCTTTTCACCAGTATGCACCCGAAGATGACGGTCCAAGTAAGCTTTGTACTGAAATCCTTTTCCACAAACTGAGCAAATATGTTGACATGGGGAAGATAACAGTTTATTAGCTCTGAAGCTAGATGGAAAGACAACTTCAGAATTTCCAAAATCGGCATCTTTGACAGACATATTTCTTTCATTTGAAAGGAAAACTGAAATGGAAATGCATAATTTTGAAAACTTTAGTTTTAGACAAATAAATTCACAATAACAAATTCCATCATTCAATTTCACTGTATACAATATACAAATACTTGTGTAAATAAACAGGATACTTATACTGCTCATCTATAGGATTTTATACATCTCTATGTATTTTATCCATCACATTTATACCTTAAAAATATACACAGAATTTCTAAAAAACAAAACTGCTTACTCTTCTACAGAGTTATTCTTACAACATGATGCAAAATATCGACTTTGCATTATGTTGTGGCAACCAATATGTACAACAATTCAGCTAGGTAACTCAAAGAAAACTCATTGCTTTCACAAAAACACTTTTACAGTCATTTTTATTCCT